GATTTTCGAAATCATCCTTTGATAGCTTTGAAAATTGATTGTTGATTCAAGAAGTTAAGCGATTTTGAAAGTGGGTTTGTCTCTTGTTCTTTTAAAATGATCTTATGGGTTTTGATCTTCGTTGATTGAAGAAAAGATGATTTTGGAAAGTTTTCTTTCAAAAGATTTGAGTTGTATAGTTTTGATGAGAAAACCTAGAATTTGATGATTTTTTTTAAAGAGACTGAAAATCCATGAATGATATTGTTATATTTGTTTTTTGTCAAAATAAATAGATGTTTGGAAAATTTCTTATTTATATTTATATAAATAATGAATTTCAGGCAATAAGAGAATTATTGTTCATTTTGTAAATTATTGTTTAAAACATTAAAATAGTCTTGAAATGACTAATTGTTGAGGATACTTGAGAAGAGGGAATTGTCTTATTCCTTGGATGATGAATTGGAATAAAAGTATTTCTATTCATCTTGTGTTATTGGCATATCAATTCATTTAATTACATTAAACTTTGAAAGTTGATTTGAAAACTTGCATTGAGAAAAGAATGTTGAGAAACAAGTTTCCATGAATTTGTTTTGGGGTAAGTACGGTGGTAAGTCTTGACAAGTGGTGTAGATGAAATTGAATAGGTGTCGAGCCTTCCAGTTAATACTGGTAAAAATGACAAATTATAGGGTCGAGCCTTCCAGTCAATGCTGGTAAAAATGACAAATTGGTAGTACTTGTATAGTCTACTTGCAGACATCGACCTAGGGATTACCAGAGTCGTATTTACCGCCCTTGAAATAAATTGTTAAGTTTTGAACAATTGAAATTGTATGATATCATTGAGCATGATGGTCTTCAAAAGATGAAAATGTGATTTATCTTGAAAAAGGGCATAGCATGGCATGTGCATTTCATCTCTTGAGACTTGTATAAAATGTATATACTTTGTTAAGAATTTCCTATTGGGCTTTATGCTCACCCTACGGGATTTTTGTGTAGGAAAAGATGTGGTGATCCCACCCAACTAGGGGTGTGGAAGTATGTGTGTTGGGAGTACAATGCTCTCATTTGCTGTGACTCTGTGTGTAAGCCAAGGGCTATGTTTGTGTGGATTTGCATAACCATTTTGTGTAACTAGGCTCAAGCCTTGGAAACTTGTAAACCGTTGGGTGTATTTATTTGTTTATTTACTTGTTGTTGGATTAATGTATTGTTGTGACGATCTGGAATTTTTCCTTCGGCTCGAGCAGACTTGTGAGGCTCCCAGTATTTTTGTAGTTTGTCTGAGATTTTGAGAGTTGTGAATTCACGCTCGAGCGTAGGAGTGGTCGCTCGAGCGGACGACTTTGTTGGTCTACGCGCTCGAGCGCAAGATTGGGCGCTCGAGCGGTCTACCTGGTTGAGTTTGAATTTCTAAGACTAGTGGGTTTGTTTTTGATCTTTTATTATTGTGTTTGGAGCCTCCTTATTTTATTTTGGGACATTGATTGAGGTGGTAACATCATGGTAAAGTAAGATTGGACCAAAAACTTTAATTCGAATAATTTGCCTACGAGCAGTCGTCACTCTTTTACCTTTTTCTTTTTCCACGCTTTGAATTTGGGTATGAGGCTAGAACCATTGGGAATCTTGTTTCCGGGGCTTCAATTTGGACACAAGAACGACCTAAAATGGAGTTTGGATTAGAGAGTTACGCATGTTTGAAGTTTTGGAATCTGCGCTAGAAGCAGGTACGCTCAAGCGAACTACGCGAATTCAGCAACTTAAAAAGTGGGTTTCTAGGTCATTCTTTACACTTTCTTTTTCCCTCTTCCTTCCTCTCACCCTAGGTCCGAAAACCCTAGAGATTTTGGCCCAAATACCTCCAATTTCTCAAAGATTTGGCCAAGATCCCTTGCAAAAATGTGAAGAAGGTTTGAAGATCTCACTTTTTAACCGATTGGAATTCGGATTTGGGAAGGAATCTCATCAAAGCTTGCTCTTTTGCTTGATTGTTGAGATAGGGGTCCTAGTTCTTCTCCAATACTTGCATTAATGGATAGATTTGTGGTATTTTGATTATATAAATACAAAATCTACATTTTGAGCATATAGTGTATATCATGAGATTTAGAGGTTTAGGGTTTGAAGTGTTGGGGGTTCAATTGATGGGTTAATATGGTGGATTATGAACCTTAGGTGTATAATCAAGGTGACAATTGGAATTAAAAATAGTGGTGTGAGAAGTTTCAATTTTTCTTGAAATTCTTGATTTTTCTTGAAAACCCTAGGTTGATTCATGGTGATAGTTAATGATTTTTCCCAAATTGAAAGTAGAATCATGAAATTGAGAGGTTGAGTTATATATATACAAGTTTAATTGGATTTTGGAAGAGTTTCAAAATTATGTTAAAAATTAGCGAATGAACCTTCATTATGGGCATTATAAATTATGTTATAATATGAAATGTTTTGGGGGAAAAGATGTGTTAATGATATGGATGACATAAACTTGGTTATGGAATGTTGAAATGGGATTTAAAAATTTATCTTGAATTATGTTGAATTGTAAATAGTATTGTTGAATTAAGTTGTGTTGACTTTTGTTGAATTAAGTTGTGTTGAATAATGTTGAATTGAATTGTGTTGAACTATGATGAATTGTGTTTGAATCATGTGAATTGTGTTGAGTTGAGTTGTGTTGGGTGTGTTGAGTTTGAGTTGTGTTGTGTTGTGTTGTGTTGGGTTGTGTTGAGTTTGAGTTGTGTTGTGTTGGGTGTGTGGAGTTTGGGTTGAGTTGTGTTGGGTGATGCTGTGTTGGTACCCATGCGGAGAGTTGAAAAATGGTTTTTCGGTGCCCATGACCGTCTGTATAATAGCTAGTAAATATGGGGGATGGTTTTAAAAAATGAAAAAATAAAAAAAAGGTTTTTGGGGCCCACATCCCGCCATATAGTAGCTGGCAAATGTGGGGGTGGTTTTGAATTAAAGGTGCCCAATTGCCCTGTCTAAGCTTATCACTGGACGAATGTGGGAAAATGTTTTTGGGTGTCCACACAGTCCTGCCATATTGTAGCCGGCAAAAGTGGAAAAACGAATGGTTTTCGAAAATGTTTTGGGTGCCCACATCCCACCGTATAGTAGCCGGCAAATGTGGGGGATGGTTTTAAAAAGTTGAAAAATGGTTTTTGGAGAAATATGGTTTTTGGAAGAAAATGGCTTTTGAGAAAATGGTTTTTGGGAGTTCACTTCCCGTCGTCTAATAGCCGGCGAAAGGTGGAAAGTGTGATGAATCGGGTGCTCGCTATCCCACCGTAGTAAGTCGGCAAAAGGTGGATTGTGTTGAGATGTGTGTTGAGAAGTTTGTTGAGTTGATGATGTTATTTGTGGCTTGTGATGAATTTGTGAAATTGCATTTTGATGTGTAGTTTAGTTTAACGAGGAAATGTGCATAGACATTTTTGTAAAGAATGGAAACCAAAAATGGGTAAGGGGATTATGGATTGGTGACGGTGAACTTAATGAATCAGTTGTGACCATAAAGATAAATTATGAGTGTTGTTCTGTAAATAAATTAAGGGAACTTGAACTTGAAGTAATGGAGTTCTAATTAAATATAATGAGAAGAAAAGACGAATGAAAGAAAAAGACGAATATTAAATATGGGAAATCAAATGAGAAATATTTTGGAATGAGTTTATGAACATAAAATGATGTGGTTCCTTAAACATAAATGTTTTAAAAAGGATTTATGGTTTTTTTAATGAAAAGGAATAGTTTTGATGGTTGAAGGTTTTCCATAAATGTTCAAATGAGTTTTGAGAAAAAGACACTCTATGTATGATATTTTGAAATTATAAAATATCACCCTATTATATGGTATCACTCTGCATGCATGATCATTTCTATCTGTGTGTTAGTTATTGATTGAGAACTATGAGATTCCTACTGGGCATTAGTGCTCACCCCATTGTTGTTTTATCTTTTTATAGGAAGAAAGTTTGGATTATTTGATTGAAGATTTATGGAGTTCTTGAGTCCCTTTGTATAACTTCATAGTAGATGTAAATGAAATGAATTTTGTATTTGTATTTATTTATTTGTAGCATAGTAGGAGATTAGCATGTATTGTTGACATTGTAATACTCATTGAGAGAGAGAGAGAGAGAGAGAGAGAGAAAACATGTATCATTGTATTTCTATTACTCAAGTGTAATAGATATTTGTATATATATATATATATAAAATGGACCTAAATTAAAGGCTTTGGTAATGATTTCGAGTAATTAAAATTTGGGACGTGACAATTGTTGCATAAAGAACTATTGTATCATGTAATGTAAGTTTAGAGATTTATATTTGTGTTCCTTGAAAGAGCCATGATTGTTGTCTTATCATTTGGGCTAGAAATTTGGGGCGTTACAGATGCTGATGAAGAAAATGCTTATATCATTAGTGATGAGGATGACGAGGACACTTCAGATAATGATGAGGGTAGTAATGGCTCAGATAAACCAATTGAGGCTAATGATGAGGGGATATCAGACTATGAATCTGATGATATATGAGGGAAATATTCTACTGATGAAGAAGATGTGCAAGGTGTTAATGTTGACAGATATATGAGGGGAAAAATGTTTGAAATAAAGGAGTGGAAGAAAATAACATTGGAGAAGGGAATGATATTTGATGATGTGTATCACTTCAGGACTGTGCTCCAGGAATTTGCAATTGACAGAGGTTTTAAATTGATTAAAATAAAAAATGACAAGAAAAGAGTGCCTTGCATATGTGCTTCCTCGATGTGTGAATGGAGAATTCATGCTTCTCCATTACCTGATGGGGTGACATATAAGATTAAGACATTGGTCCCTGACTATACATGTGTTAGAGTAGAAAGGAATACTGAAGCAACAACAACATCTTGGATTGCTACAAAGGTTGAAAAAACTCTTAGAGGGAATCTTGGGGTCATGCTAGAGGCAATGCATGATGAAATAGCTAAAAATTATTGATTGGAGACTATAAAGATGCAACTGTACAAAGGAAAGAGGAAAGCCATGGAGGCCATTGAGGGTAATCATGCAAAGGCTTACACCAAACTTCCAATGTATGCTGCCGAAGTGTTGAGGACCAATCCTGGTAGTTTGGTCAAAATTGAAAGGGAAAGAAAGCCAACATCTAAGCCAAACTTACCTCCTCCCTTACCAACATTCAAAAGAATTTTTCTTTCATTTGCAGCCATACAACATGGCTTTAAAGAAGGTTGCAGGCCTTTCATAGCTGTGGATGGGTGTCATTTGAAGGGACCATTTGGGGGCATATTGTTAGCTGCAGTTGGCCTTGATGGAAATAATGGTCTTTATCTTATTGCAATTACTGTGGTGGAGAGTGAATGTAAGGATAGTTGGGCCTTTTTCCTTTACCACTTGAACACCATTTTTGGTAATGGCCCCCAAAACATGCCATTAACAGTCATGTCTAATGGTCATAAGGGCATTGAGCCAGCCATGAGACAAGTAATACCCCATGCAACTCATAGGAGGTGTTGTAGACATATTTTCAGCAACTTGAAAGGCAAATTCCCTAGTTTAAAGATGAAAAGAGCCTTTTGGGCTGCAGCTAAAGCTTACACTATCAAGGATTTTAACATTGCAATGGAACAGATATTGGAGTTATCTTCTGAAGCACATTGCTGGCTTTCTAAATTTCCAGTTGAAATATGGCCAAGACATACATTTGATCATAGGGTGAAGAGTGAACATGTTACTAGCAACATGGTGGAGTCATTTAATAATTGGATTAGTAATGTTATGGGTAAACCTATCTTGTCATTGTCGGAAAATACCAAATTGAAACTGATGAACAAGTTACATAAGAGGTTTTAAGAGGCAGTTTCATGGCAATCTTTGGTAACCCCTAACATTAAGAAGAAACTGGATAAAGTGGATCTTCATTCTAGGCTTTGTAAAGTGACTTTTGCAGACAAGAGGAGTATCAAGTGGTTGAAGGTGTGGTGTCTTATATTTTGAACCTACAAAGAAGGTCATATGTTTGCAGGATATGGGACATAAGTGGAGTCCCTTGCAGGCATGCAACAACTTGCATTACTCATAAGAGGATGAACTCGGAGACCTATTGTGACACAATGTACTACAAACACATTTATTTTAAGGCATATGGGGAAATTATTCATCTAATGCACAATGAGAGTTTATGGGGTCCAGTTCTTGGAGATGAGTTGAAGCCTCCACCTCTTAAGAGGATGTCTGGAAGACCTAGAAAAAGTAGGAGAAGAGAAGTTGATGAGGCTGCACCATCAAAAAGATCATACACTGTGAGCTGCATCATTTGTAAGGGATTGGGCACAATAGGAGGACATGCCAGAGGGCACCTATTAGGGGTAGGGAAATGGGCACAAATGAGTCTGCTCAGAGAGGAATTGGTACTGTTGTTGAAAGGAGCACTATTGGAAGGTCCACAGCTACTGAGAGGAGCACTGTTGAAATAAGTGTAAATGACAAATGATTGTGTTATTTTATTTTATTTTATTTTTCCACGTGGAATTTGAGGCCAACTAATCCAATTCGTTTTTTAAGATCAAGGACGAGATGGGATGCTTCCAACTCAGTGGAGCACGACTTGAACCATAGGTATGCATGTAATTGCATCATGCATAACACTTCAAATATATTCATTTGTGTTTATTAATTTGTTGTTCTTTGTATTTTTATTTTTCAGGTGATGCTTTTTGTATAGGGTATGCTGGAAGGAATTAAAGACTAGGGCATACTTTTTTGTGTAATTCGTGGGAATACTTTTCTGACAATGTCTTCATATTAGTACATATCGGAAGGCATGCATCCTTGCTCACCATAGGTTTTTGAATTGGGTGGGTTACTACTCTTTTATTGACTTGCAAAGTTTTAGTTGGACAAGAATTTGTAACTAAGATATAGTATTGCAAGGTTTATTTTGGTGGACATGAATATGTAACTAAGTTAATATTTCAGACTTGTGTATCTAAATTTCTAAGCTAATATTTCAATTTCAAGCTACTTGAGTGCTCTTTCTTCATTCCTTCCATGTTGGAGAGGATTCCATGGTACTTATTTATTACCCAAAAAATAACTATTCACCCAAAAAAAACTCAAAAAATAACAAATTAACTAAATAAGTTGTGAATACAAAATTAATTAATTTAATAATTTATGGAATGCAAAATTAAAATGGAAAAACACTTATTAGATGATAAAAATGTCGTAAAGTTAACAAATAATTAAATAAGTTACCAACGTAAGAAATGCCTTATCAAAAGATTCTTAGGCTATGTACAGTTTGATTTTTAGAAATTTGTTTTAGAAATTTTTTTTAAAAATTAAACATTAATTTGGTTACGAAATAAAAAATAAAAAATAATTATCATTTTTATATAATTTTATCTTTTAAGTGGTTAGAAATAATTTTTTACAAATTAAATATTTCTTCATATTTATTTTTATTAAATTAGTTTTTATTTTATTTTTTTTAAAGTTAAAAAAAAAAATTTAACAACAAACCAAAGGGATTTTAGGTTAAATTAGGTTGTTTGGTTGTGTTCAACAAAAAAAAAAGAAAAAAAGAAAAAAAGAAAAAGAAAAAAAAAGGTTGTTGGGTGCTTTGGTATAGGTTAAATCAGATTTTCTGGTTGTGTTTCAAAAAAAAAAAAAATTGTTTGGCGATTTGACAGGTCCAAGGGGTAATATGGCCCATCAATATACATTTTGGTGATGTCAGCATACTTCTGTAACGGTTTAGTCCACAGCAGGGGTCAAACTGTTACGCAAATATAAATCTCAGGGGACAAGATGTAATTTCCAAAACCTTAGGGGGTATATGTAATTTAGCTAAACCTCAAGGGGGTATATGTAATTTGCCCTTAAATATATATGTTCAATATGATTAATGCTTATGCAATGTCATGCCATGCCATACATATAACTTAACATGTCTTGAGCTTAATTTATGAAACGCTTAATTTTATAACCCATGTTAACCCAACACAATCATAGTTGTTGAAATCAACACCTTTTGTTTATTTGTGTTAAACTCCATGTACATATCTCAACACCTTCACATTTACTGTAGGACAAGTAGGCACCTCTTATTTCTTAAAAATCTCCACATTACCAAGCACGAAGGGGCAATTGGACACCCGTTTCTACTAAAGACTTCTCTATATTTTCCGGCCACCGAGCACGGAGGGCAAGTGGACACCCGTCAATTATTTCAATGTTTCCCCCACATTTACTAGCCACTGAGCATGGAAGGGCAATTGGGCACCTTTACCAAAATACCATTAACACCCCACATTTTTCCGATCTCCAAGCACGGAAGGGCAATTGGACACCTCAACACACACGAAGCACTTTCACAACCACGCACACATCCTCTTTTTAAATTACATAATATTTGATTAAGAATTATCTGGATACAATACAATGGGCAAGTTCTCAAGTACTCACATTTAACCCATAGCATAGTCTAATTACACAAGTAATCGATACACAAAATTGGAGAAATAATCTCCATCATCACAAATCAAATTCATTCTACATATTTATTCATGAGGAATATCAAATGACATCTGAACTTAAAACACAAATTAGTTCAAACCCTCATTTGATTAAAACCCCTTCCAACCCTTTGTACACATTAATATTATTATGAGATGATTTTCCCTTACAACAACTCTATAATTCACATTTCAACCCCAAGTCAAATAAACTAGTCCAATTTCATGTTTTAAAATCAATTTAGCAAAACCCTCTTTATTGAACAAATTTCAAAACTAGGGTTTCAAGAAAAATTGGGGTTTTTCCTCATTTCTTTGTTAAATCCTCAAATCACCTCTCATTGTTCATCAATGTACCCAAAACATTCAAAACATTTTAAGGATTTGAGTGAAAACCCTCATTTGTACCCAAACAATTTACCGTTGAAGATTTCTAACTCAAAATCAACTCAAAACCCCAAATATAGCGACCCCAGTCTTTTCCCATTTGATTATTGTATCCGGACTTAGGTTCCGTAGATTCTGTCATTGTATAATTGTTGTTGTTGTTGTTGTTGTTGTTATCCCTTTTTTTTCTCATTTGGAATTATAGGATGTGTTGGGCAGGTTTGTTTCAGGTTGGTTGGGTTTAGAAACCAAGTGTTGCTGTCCAGGTTTTTGTTTCTTCGCTCGAGCGAGGAGTTGGTCGCTCGAGCGAGAGGTGGCGTCCAGTATGGACCTGTAGCTTTGCATTCTTGGCTCGAGCGAGCTTTTCTTCGCTCGAGCGAGTTAGTCCGTTCTTCGCTCGAGCGGTAGTTCCTTCGCTCGAGCGTGAGTCTGGTTACAGACCTGAGGGTTTGGGTTCTTCGCTCGATCGAGTTTTCTTTCGCTCGAGCGAGCTTTTGGGTTGTTGGCTCGAGCAAGGCTTCCTTGGCTCGAGCGTAGCTTCTCTGTGTCTGGTCGCTCGAGCGACCAAGTCTTCGCTCGAGCGAGCCTGTCGGGTTTTGATCAGTCTTTTTCATCTTCTTTTTTATTCCAAACCCTAGGTCCGACTTCTCTCTCTCCCTACTCACCTTCTTTCTTAGGTTTGATCTATTTAGAGTGTGTTTCTACCCTAGTTGCTTTATTAAAAAGATAGAGGGAGTCGAGGGCTTTCATTTAATCTGAACATTTGGCGATTTGGAGCACATTGGTATTTGGGCACTCATCTCTGTCTTCACCATTTGGGTTGTTTTCTTCGAGGTAGGGATTTCCTACTCCATTATATAGGTTTGTTTAGAAATAACTGTTTTGGGCTATCGGTGGAGGATAGTCGTGATTGTTGTAGACATTGCATGTGGATTAGGAATAACTGAAACTAATCACATCGGTTAAGTCATTAATTTTGACTATGGTATTGATACAGAAAATACGTGTATTGATTGAGCATTGTATTTGCATACATTGTTTTGTGTGTGGGAGGAGATGGGGGATGTACTCCACGGTTTAGGGGAAGATAGGGGATGGACCTCTAAACCGGATTTTGTTTGGGAGGAGATAGGGGATGGACTCCATTAGCATCACTTTTATGTGTGCTTATTTATATAGAAGTGTTTTCATTGATACAGCACTAAAATGTGTATCAATCTGGAAGTATGAAGTGTTTTGATTTGAGCTTGAGTCTCATTTGTTTGTTGACATTGGAAGAATGTGAATATGATATATATGATTCACTGTTGTAGTTTGGCCAGGTTCTGAGCCATATTGATAAAGTTGGACAGTAAAACGTGTCTTAGACAATAGTGTCATGAGACTATAAACTGAAGTAATTGTTTATCTTGGTTAACCATCTGTTGAATGCTATTGCTTTATTCATTGCTTATATGTGGTTTAGTATATTTCTACTGGGCTGTGGCTCACCCTTTATGGGAACATCATTTTCAGGTACAGGTGATAAGCTACCTCCAGGGACTTAGCTTGTGAGGGTTTGGTTTCTGGATTTGGAAGAAGACTTTCATTAGATAATTGTCTTTATTTATTACTACATGTAAACATTCAAGCCTAGGGCTTTTCTTGTATTGAGTTAGAACTCATATTTTTGTATCCAAGTGATTGGCTTGGAAAGATGTAAGCCTGTAGGGCATTTTATTCGATGTTACATGTAATGCTTTTGTTTAGTAATACTCTGATGAATGGTTTAATAAATTGTTTTCTTTGAATAATGCATGTCAATGATATATATATATAATGGGTTGATTTTGAGGGCGTTACACCAAAATAAATAAAATCACATCAAAACATAAATATTTATAGTTAAGACAACCCCCTACCTCAAGAATGAAAGCCAACAAGGAAGACCCAAGCAAGAACTCCGACAAATTCACAATCCAATTGGTAAAGAGAAAGATCTTCACTCCTCCTTCACTAATCTTGTATGATCTAAGGTGGATCTTTGGTGTAATAAGATGAAATCAAAGTTTAGTGGCTAGGGTTTTCAGACAAGAAGAGAGGAGTGAGAGAAAATGAGCAAAAAGTGGATTTTATACTTGATGATCCCGAATAGACTGCTCGAGCACAAGAAGTGTCACTCGACCGATCAGAAACAAAAGAGGTTACCGCTCGACCGTAGAAATCAGCCCTCGAGCGACGAAGACCAACTCCCAGAAGTTTTGCAAAGCTACAGTGAAAATACCAGGAGCATGCATTCACCGCTGGAGCAACAACTTCACCGCTCAAGCGGTCCCGTCTGTATAACACCCAATTGCTGGGAACCACTATTCTATGCTCGAGCGGCAAAGTCTTCGCTCGAGCGGCCTGCCAAAACAAGCTGTTACATATTACATATAATTTTAGTAAAAAAAAAAAAAGGTTACAATTTGTCAGAATGTTTGTTATAGAACATTATAATTATTTTACATATATTGTAAGTGTGTGAATATGTTAGCAGAGTGCACACTGTATCAACTTTTATTATATATGTGGTAATCAGAATGGTGGTAGAAAATGGTGTGTTCTCTTAATAATTTTGGAGTGCCGAAACCTTTCTGGCCAATTTAAATAAATTATCAGATACAAAACTCAAAACTCGAGGAAAATCCAAATTCAAGAATGAATCCAGCCTTTACACTGACCGAATAATATAGAAAAGTAATTTAGAAATAAAATAGTCGCTCATATGCACTGAGGTCTACGCTTTATATAATAAAATAGATATACTAAAAAGAGTGCAGAACAATATAGGTGTGCTTGAAATCGACAATTATAGGATCTATGGACATGCTTGAAATTTATTCTTACACATTTGAGAATAAGAAAAGATAGATAGATACACTCACTCCAACAACCCATGCCCCACCTTTTTTCCCCTTTCCCAAGACAAAGGCAAAAATTTATTTATTTTTTTCTCCATATAATTCACTGTAAGTTTACAAGTGTACTGATTAGGTAAATGCTCAAATTTTAACTTGAACTCATGTAGTATAATCCCTATCAGGTAACATACAAGAAAGACTATAATTTTTTTCTTTATTTTTTATAAACCAAATGCAACTTTCTTGAAAAATTATAAAGAAGCCTTGATGGATGACCTTGAAGACATGGCATACATTTGATTCAGCAATGAATATGTAGAGCTAATAATTTTAATGAGAGAAGCAAAATTATTATACTATCTCTCAAAACATCAATTTATCATATAGTGAAATCATAAAACTTATAGCAAATTCATGATCCCGTTTCTTTATTTTGCTTGTTTTCTCTGTTCATCCAAGCATCATTCTCATCACATAGGAAGGAGGAGTGACCGGAACATTCTACTTTCTCCAAGTAAATCAAATTGGAAAATAATATCCTAAGTTCCATCCAATGCATCTCAAATTTATTCAAGTATTTCAATTGCAACATCTCAACTATGGTAGCTACTATTGCGCCTAGATAACACAATAGCTCTACTCTGATGTAGAGCTTCTTCAAGTTCTTTAGATTGCTAGACTACAATCAATTGGGTGTAATCATCTCAAGAAAACACTTAAGCTCTAGTTTCTGTAATCAGGAAAGAAGTTCCAATTGGAGAGGAAGTTCTGAATCATGTTGCTCGGTGAATGATCTTGTAAATGCTTTTGTTAGCATGGCCCGTAATTGTGGTTGTGGGTGTGCTTGCTTAGGTGTGTCACCTATTTTGCCTTGTAAAATGCATCCTGACCAGGATATTTTTAATAATATTTGATGAAAAATGTCATTAATTATTATAGAACCTATTAGACAATAAGTCCACTTATTAGGACCTATACGTAAGCTCCCTTTAAATTTATAAAGGGAAAATTATATTGGCAGTCCCTATATTTTACCCTTTGTGTCATTTTGGTCCATGCATTTTCAATTGATTCAATTTTGATTATTAATTTTAGATTTTATTTCAATTTGATCCAATTAATAATATCATTAGTGTATTTTAAGAAAAATTATTAGTAAATTGATTGAGATTAACCAACTGAGTTAAGTAAATTTATAATTTTGCTCTTAAAAATATGGCATGTGACACATATGTGTTTATTTTTCATAAAAAAGAGTTGAAATCAATTGGACCAAATTGAAACAAAATCATAAATTCAATATAAAAATTGAACTAATTGAGAGTACAGAGACTAAAATGATACAAGGGGTAAAGTAAAAAGACTATTGTCGTAATTTGTCCAATTATAAATTAAAATTTATAGATTATGATAGGAAGAAATGGTTAAAAAATAAAAAAATTTGTCTCTTTATATTTAGCAAATTCTGTTTATAATTGAACAAAGTATCAATTACAATTCAGAAATCACAATCTACAAAATTCAAGTCAAAGACACATAAATGAACAAAGTTAAGAAAGGATTCGATGTACATATTGAAATAAGAGGATATGCTATATTCATTTTCTTCAAAGAATACACAAACAAACAATAGCAAAGATTGAACCAAAACATAGGACAAATCAGAACAATCTATATAAAGATTTTGTGGATTTAGAATACCAAAGCGAAAATAAATAAATAAATAAATAATATTATAATACTAGTTTATTGGGCTTTTTATATTTTTCTAATATTATAAGGGCTTACATATTTTGGAGGCCCTATTTTTGTTCCAAAATTTGGGGCTCAAGACTGCTTGCCTCTATCCCACCACCACCAATAGCACTGTCACTGTCAGTGAGCCACCATCCGCCCCACCCTACCCTCCTCTTATTATACACCCAAACATTTTGTTTGGATTATGAGGTGAGAAAGAAAAAAAAAATGAATGCGATTTCTCATTTTTTTTATTTGAATGAACATGACTAAACAATGATAGGTGGGATTTAGAATTTTTATATAGAGAAGGCGAACATATATATACTTACTAATTTTTCTTTTTTTTTAAAAAAACTTATGAATTATAATATCAATTTCTATTAATATAAAAAGTGAAAATATATATAAATATCATATATTTTGTATCCGTATTTAATTAAAAAAATAGTAATTACAAAACAATCAATATATTGAAGTGAGGCATCTTGAGTTGTTATACTTGACACTTCTTTCATATCATTAAAAATGACTATAATAAAATCGACATTGAAATATTATACAATGTATTTCTCAATGAGTTGTTATACTTGACACTTCTTTCACATCTACTTTTAACTCTTTTTTTTTTTCCACTTACAATTTGTAAAAAAAGAAAAACTTAACTTTTATAATTTGTAGATAATTGTAGTTAGTATACTACTATAATAAAAGGTGTTTTGAAATCGTAAGAGGGGCAATCGCTGTTGCAAAATGGCTTTTGAAAACCTTTTTTTTTTTTAACTTTGAGCATTAATTAATGTGGGACCCACTACAACAAAAATAATCTTTAGACACGAAAACTAATGACGAAATTTTTTTTTGTCACGAAATACGTATCTTTTAATGACGAAAATCATATTTCGTCTCCAAATGTGTCATTTTTGGAGACAAGAATAAAATTTCGTCACCAATCTAAATCATAATAAAAAAAATAGGTGACGAAATTATATTTCGTCATTATTTATATTTTTTTTGTCACCAAATATTTTCCCACTAATATTTTCGGAGGGCGCCAAAATTAATAGATTTTTGGTGACAAAAAAATTTGTCATCAATTATAAAATTATTAATGACGAATATATTTTTGTTACTAATAATTTTTAACATTTTAATATTATTTAGGGACAAAATTATTTTTGTGGCCAATATTTTTACCTTGGATGAAAAAATAATTTTGTCACCAAAAAATAATTTAGTCACTAAATATTTTAGGGTAAATATTTTAGGGGAAATAAAAATGAAAAAAAGATACAAAACTACACTCTCAAATCATCCATCTCCATCACCATACCTGACCTTTCTTCCTTTACTGCCTCTTTCACCACCACCACCAACTCAATCACATCACCACCGCCACCTCCGCCTCTGCTGCAGCCTCCCGATCTCCCAACCACTCTCTCAACACTCAAACACCTCATCCACCTCTCCGAAACCACCCACCACTCCACCTCCACTCTCCTGCCCACTACCGCCACCACCACCACCGCCCTCTGCCCCTGTCCTTTCAATTTCCTCCACCGCCTTCCATCGGAATCCCTCTTTTGCCACTCCCTCCAATGCCCTTCTTCCCCTTCCCCCCTTCTTAACCTCGACCCCCTCCTACTCCAATCACTACGCTACACCAACACTCTGAAACCCTCCCAACAACTCTTTAATCAGAACCGCGTCCTTCAAACCATACACGATCCCAACTCCGACCTCTGCTTCTCCCTCGACGATTATTGCGACTTTGGTCCCAATTTCTTCTACCCTAATGGTGTGAAACTTCAAGTTCTAGCCCCCTAATCTTCCAAGTACTGTTTTTATTTTGTTTTGTTTTTTTTTTTTTCTTCTAGTGTTTCTGAACTTGATTTTCGATTTCTCTATTTTACAGGCAAATCAACCGAAGAACAACTCAAACCTCTCTTCGATTACCACCGTGCTCAACCCTTCGATGTTGTCTGCCTCAATGGTCTATCCTCTTTCTCTCTCTCTCTCTCTCTCTCTCTATATATATATATATATATAGATATGTGTGTGTGTGTGTGTACGTCTTAAACATTTTAATTTTTGGAATTTGCAGATGATTGTTCAGATTCATCCCCAACTTTCTCTCCCAAACGAAGGAAGCATTCGTATACCACTGTAAAGATCTCTATTTTTGTAGATTTTATTGAATTTGAATGATTTAGCAACCTAGAATGTGAGCCTTTGTTTGAAATTGATTTGAGTGTTGGTATCAATTTGAATTTAGGTTGAGAAGGTAGATAAGAATGAGAAATTCATAGCGGTTGTTGATTGTGAAGATAAGGAAGAGGATGATTGGCTATCTCCACCTCCTAAAGTTTCAGTTGATACACTGAAACTTGGTGAGGATTCAACTATAAAGGAGTTGAGGTATATTCCTTTTTTTGGTTCTAACTTAATGGGTTAGCTCAGGAATTCATTTTATGTTTTGTGGCTCCTTTATCTATCTTTCAGTTCATATAGTTTAAAGCAGCTATGAATTTTATTACTTGTGTGTGCATTTGTTTGAAGCTATTTTTGTTGTGTTAGTGCTTTAATTGGTGAGACCATTCACTGGTGTTCTAAAGTAGAGGCAATGTGTCTTATTATTGGAATTGATACCTAAAAGGGACCAATGTGTCTTATTATTGAGACCAAAGAGGGTTGGTTTGGCAGACAAGCTGCTAATTTAGTGTGAGTAATGCTGGAATTCGCATCTCACCATTTGATGCAACTTAGCTTTTTCTTTTCCCCTCCTATGAATTGAGTGGGGAAAAAAAAATCAAACCAATAAGATAGGACTACACACGAGGTGTTTGATGATATTACTCTTAAGACAAATTGATTTAATTTTTTCAGAACAAATTGACTAGGTCTTTGATGTTATTGAAGCTGATTTCAAGTCCTTAACATCAACCATGTTTGTCATCAATTCCAATTTTGTTAATAATCCTAGTGAGGCAAAATAGGCAAGCTAGTTATTCCTCTTGATCTAGTTAAATTTCTCTTACTTCTTTGGGACTAGATTAGCATTCCTTAAAACTATATAGTTCTTCCATGCAAATGTTTTATTGTTTATTTACTTTCTTGCTTCTTAAATTCATAAATTAGCTAAGTTTCGATTTTGTTCAATTTTGAAACCATGTTTTATTGTTCAATTTTGTTCTTAAGTTTCGGTTTGCGGCCGTCGTAATGGAAGTGGTGAGTTGGTTGAAGTTGGGTATTGGGATCTTAGAGGTGAAAACAGATCTTCAGCATTTAAAATGAAGTTTATGAAACTTGGATTGAAGCCTAATTCATTTCAGACTGATAGGGACAATGTTAGTTTAGTATGAGACCCTTTTTTCATTAATCCCAGTAACTGTTTTCTTTTTTTTTTTTTTTGCATGAATTATATTTTTTGGGTTACTTATTCAGTGATATAGAATTAGTATCTCTGTTTACTTGTATTCTATCTAAATTCATTCTGACAAACAAGGTCATTTTGTGCTTGCACTAACAAAAAATGTCTCTAGGTTTATCCTAAAGGAACACATTTGATGATTCCCTTGTTTGAAAGGCCTATCGTTAATGATGTTCGTGCACGTCCCAATCTTGTTGAGAGCTCTTCAGGGAGTCATGATCTCCAAATGGTAAAGTTTGTTTTACAGATTTTCTTATATTTATCATGCACAAAATAAAATGAAAACAAAACTTGTTGGTTTATTGTAGCGACTTTTTCCAGATATGGCATACTTGATCTCTTCATAATTTTTTTAAGTTTCGAACACTTGATTGAAGCCTAGATAAAAAAGAATTACATGCCTAGAATAAGGTTTCACTTTTATATGATAGTCAAGGAGGTTAATTTATGGAAGCATTTTGATCTTTCTAAATCCCTTTTGTAGATTTGATTCTTGTTATTCGATCAGGGCCTTATTATTTGCATTAATATTTATTTAGCAGTGCTATATGCTAGGAGGTCGATTGTGTTTTTTTTTTTTTTTGGGTGAATAAGTCATAAAATAAAAGACAAATATATACAAGATACAAGAGGCATGTCTCAGGAGCTAACCAACTATACAAAGAGCCACCAACAAAACCAAAAACACAACAGGACAAAACAACTTGTTCAAACACCACATGAGCACAGGAGCAGATAAGGAGCAGGAACAAGATCAATACTGAGCTACACATTAGGATAGACCTAGAAGCTACTGGACCACAAAACAATATCCAAAATATAACTCAAAAACAAGGTCTACTACCATAATTAAGGCCATGTACATTCCACATAGAAATCCAAAATTAGGTTCTGGGATTACAAAAATTAACCACTAGAGCCTATTATAACTATACTAATAAATAAAAATTCAGACTGTAAAACAACCACCACATCCTCTTAGACAGCAGGCAACATCAGATCATTAAGCACCAGCAAAATGGCAAGCAACAGCAGACAACAAGCCTCAGCAAGAAGGCAGCAACAACAGCAGTAGCAGTAGCCAGTAGCACAGAACCTAATTTTGGAGAAGCTATGAGTATGGAAGGTGTCACTGTCATATTTTGGTGTTTCTCTTGAAGAATAGGTGACTAATTTAATGGGCCAGCCGTTTTGTTTCTTAATAATACTGATATCTACCACACCGACTCTGGTTAAATGATAAATTTGATTTTGTTTGGAAGCAAGTTAGTTGAAAAGACCACACATGTTTTGTTCTTGTATAGATAATCGAACTAACATGTAAATTTATATTTGCTCGGAATCTGTGATACTACTCTTTTGAGGAGACAACTTACTTTTATTTCTCTATATTCTCTTAGAGTGAGTGTTGAATTTTAGTAGAAAAACAATATCATTGCCATTTGTTTTTCTAGATTATCCTCTTGAGGTGTTGTTGGAAACTGTCACTCAACTCTTCTAGTTGATATGATTTTATTCTCTTCCTAGAAAACTTCTATTTTGCTGTTGATGGAACCAAAGTTTTCTGGATTCACCATCACAGCAGCACCTAGCTAAGTCAACTAATTTGTTAATGTTATTCTATTTTTTGTTTTGTTTTTGTTTTTTTATTTTTTAATTTATATTAAGAGGCAAGTGCTGAATTGTGTGTTAGTGATGTAAATCAAAATCATAATATCTCAGTAAGCTACATTTGGTTATCCTTATTTCCTGTTTTGATTTTCTTTTCTTAATCTGCCTTGAGAATTTTCTTATCCTTATTTCTTGTTTTGTTTTTCTTTTCTTTGTTTAATTTTAATATCTAGGAAGCTTCAATGTGATACAAAACTTTTGAAACTTCCTTTCTTCAATCCAAGAAAAATATTATTCATGGTTGGATAATAAGGGGGGGAGGGGAGAGAGATCCTAGCCTCCAAATGATATGTAGAGTGAAATAGAAAAAGGGATAAGAAAGGGAGAGAAAGAGGAGAGGAAGCTAACTTTGTGACACCCTGAAAATGAGTAGAATATTTATTCTGAAATCTTTCAATCACGCCCTTCCCTTCCTCTTGCAAGTTGGTTATGGGATAATCTTTTGATGGCCTATCTCAGATGCACTGAAGGCACCACCAAAATCCAGATAGCTTCCTTTGTAGGTTAACAAATTCATTAAGGACGGAAATAAATAAGGAGATGCCTTTTCATTATAGAAGCTTTTTCAAGACCTACATCTGGTTGTTGCCTTTTGGTAAGGTTTATAGTCCTGCTGTTATCTGCTTCACCATTTACTGGTTATATCACTAGAATTGTCCTCCCAAGAAGATGTCTTTTTTCAATTTGTCATGTGTTCCTATCTTGATATCTTTGCAATTACAGCATGAGATGGCAGTAGAGAGTGCATGGATTTTTGATATGGATTGTTATTATCAAACTCTGATTCTTGCTAGAAGGATTTTTGTGATGGGTGGGACACATATGCTCAAGAAGGTAAAGTTATTGCTCAAAGAAGTAGACTTTATTTTGCAACATATACATTCATCTCTATGTTTATTCAGAACTTACACTTAACTCTTCTGTTCATAATCAGTTTTGAACTTGCTTTTCTAGATTAACTTGACTAATCCAAATCAAAATGAAGACATAAAACTTCCTTCAAATACAAAAGCTGTTAAAGATCTATATGTCTCCCTTGTGGGAAACTTGTACTTTTAGCTTTGATGGGTAAAAAATTATCAATTACTAGGTATACTTATTGTCCTTTCTTTTTGTCAAGAAGATATTAGTTTTTCTACACTTTTTTTTGGAGTTTAGCTGACTCAGTTTCTTCTATTGTTTCAGCATGGGCTGCAACAAAGTTGTCATCAGTTATAATTTACCGGTAAAAGTTTGTTACTTCTTGTTTACATGTTTGTGGATATATCTTTACTCATGCTCCCTATTTTTTTTTTCTTCTATATTTTCGACTTGAGCATAGTTCTTTTGTTTTGAAGTTCCAATTCTTATGAAAATAATGAAGCCTTCCAGTTTATTTGATTGTATTTTGCCAAGTGTCATCTTGTCAGTTGAAGTATTGTCTGATGTAGTACCTATTGCATATCAGTATAACTAGGGGACCATATGATACTAGTTCCTAAAAATGATTAGTCCTAGATGACACTGAAATTTAATTGTTACAAATTTGTCCTACCTATGATCAAGTTTGGTAAGACATAAACATGTCTTTTGAAAAGTAGGCATGCCAAGATCCGTTTTATTTACTTTTTTCATCTCCCACTTCTTATTCTTCAGTGGTTGAAACCTTTTTCCCTCAACTTGTTGGCAAATTTTATGGTTTTGGATTAATCTGGACTGTGTTTGGAAAAGGTAAAAGTAGATCAGCTAAGTGACAATAGCAAAATTTAATGGAAATCATCTAGATCTTAGTTAATGATGTTTAAGAAATTAAGCTTGAAGCTTAAACTTGAGCTCAGTTTGTTCCAATGCAGAATGAGTGGGGACGTGTTTCTAATTTAGTTATGATTAAGTTGTTCTCTCTATATTTGTCTTGCCTTGTAAACAAGTTCTCTATATTTATGGTTAGTTTTATTTTATTTCGCTTGTTTGATTATCAATCTTTTTTCTATTAAAATTCGTAAGGAAGACAAAATCCTGATTATCAATGTATACAAACCTAAACCTATACACACCTAAACCTCATAAAACAATCTCCCGGTTGGAAAACTAAGTCCAAAAATGCACTTTTTCACACTTAAGCTTGAAAATAGGCCACCGGGGGCCAAAATTATCCAACAGCCACGAGACGGCCCAGGGACCACCTCAAACACGTCGGGAGGGACCAATGTGAGTTGTGAAAACTTACGGAACTAGCACGGGACTCCCGGTTTGAAAACTAAGTCCAAAAATGCACATTTTCACACTTAAGCATGAAAATAGGCTACTGGGGGCCAAAATTGTGCAACACCCAC